TACCTGTGCCGATCAAGAAAGGCTTCTTTGTCGGCGCGTCGCGTCCAGACTGCCCCGATCTGCCGACAAACAGCTGATCGGCAGAGCGGGGCAGCCATTTAAATTTAAATGAAGCCGCGATTATTTTAATCGTGGCTTCATTTCCCTCTGCCGATCTGGCTAATCTACATGCCTCCGTCGACGGAGTAATGTAGTCTAGACACACCCCAGGTGAACACCCCAGGGGATCGCTAGACAGAGCAACTGAAAAGGCAGATTAAAACAGAGAGATTTGCTTCCCTGTGATTCAGCAGAGAGGAATTTAAAAACCAGGAAATAAAGAAAATAACCTGACTGAATCTAACTAAACATTCCGGCTACGTCTACACTGGCCCCTTTTATGGAAGGGGCATGTTAATTTCAGAGATCGTAATAGGGAAATCCGCAGGGGATTTAAATATCCCCCGCGGCATTTAAATAAAAATGTCCGCCGCTTTTTTCCGGCTTTTCTAAAAGCCGGAAAAGAGCGTCTACACTGGCCCCGATCCTCCGGAAAAAGCGCCCTTTTCCGGAGGATCTTATTCCGGAGGGTGCTTTTTCCGGAGGATCGGGGCCAGTGTAGATGCTCTTTTCCGGCTTTTCTAAGAGCCGGAAAAAAGCGGCGGACATTTTTATTTAAATGCCGCGTGGGATATTTAAATATCCCTTGCGGATTTCCCTATTACGATCTCTGAAATTAACATGCCCCTTCCGGAAAAGGGGCCAATGTAGACGAGCCCTCCCTGTTCATTTATATATCCTTTGTTCCAAGATTAACTCCTTTCTAGACATGGATATTGCTGAAAATTCCATGCTTTCTTCCTGACTCAATCCATCTCTCCCCCAGTTCTTGCTCTGAACTCACACAAAATACTGAAGTAGGCAGAACCTGTTTCAATTCAAATCTCTCACCCTCTTCCCATTAACTCTCCTGGCTCCCTACCAACACTTCCTAGATATCCATTGCCTCAGGGTTTAACTCTTTACAGGCAATTTAGTTAACTGAATGGGCGGGATGTCTAGAAAAGTTTAGTATCCCTTCCACACCCAATCAATGAAGGAAAAAACCCCTTTGGGCCACCATTATAATCAGGACACCTAGAAGCAGCCAGAAATCCAGCATGACTCCTTCTGAGTGCAAACTTTAGAAGGCATTTGCCTTCTATTAAGAGAGCAGATATCATTTCCACCACTCCCTCCAGCACGTTTTTCTTATAGATTCCTCCTATCAACTCTCTTATCTATATTAAGTTTCACCCAACTAATTCTTATCCAAATCAGTCACACCATGGAGTTCCAGTAAAAGAGACATAAAGATGAGTGCCAACAGTATATTGAAAGCACTACAAACCCAAGCCATTTCCCCTAATGACCACTCACACAGACTAAAATAGGCAAGTGACA